GGGATACATTTATACTTTTGAGTTCTCTCTTAAAAGAGTTGGAAACCTTTATTAGCGATTGTCTTTTTTTTTATTTCAGAGGCAAAAAGATACGTGTAATAGTATTTATAAAGTAAATCCTCATTAGAATCCTGTTTCAAAAGGACCTGAAATTACAATCTCTAATCTTAACGTAATAATCTCCATTGAAGTCAGATTAAGATCTTTTGTGTCCCTTTGTAATCCTTTTTGCGCTACCGCTCACAGGATGAGTATAGGGTGCACAATAAACTAGACGCCTCCTGGTGGCAATAATTAATACTATTTTCCAAATCGTGTTTATATAACCGTCTTGTTGTTAAAGATTACCTACCTGGAACGAAAAGTTTCAAGTAGCACGGGCTATGGCGAGCCCGATTAATCGTCTTTTGTATATATGGAGACGGAACCTTCACCAGTTTTAAGGTAAACTTTATGCCTTTATTGACAATAGTTTGCACATACAAACACACGCAAAATACATGATAAATTACAGATAAAGAGTTACAGATATCTTTTTATCAGTAATGATAGAGGGAACCTGTATTAGTCGACCAAAACGGGGTGATAAGTTACATTTTTAATTAAGATCAATACGGGGACTCGAACCCAAGGTCGTGCAGCAACCACTGCGCCAAGAGAAGCGCTGCTCAACACATTGTGAACACTTGAGGGGGGGGGTTCTATCCCCCCCTCACATGGGGGGTCTCTGCCCCCCCCCCCTCTAGTAGAAGAGATAAACATAAGACTATCGGCTATAAGGAATCGTGTTTGATAACATTTTCTTAATCCGGTTCGCTTCTATGTTGTTCCGTGGCTCCTAGAGCACCTCTCTCCTCCTCTTCCCTCTCTTTTTCCCCATTCCATATTCCCCTTTCCCTCTCCCACAGCACTTTGTCCTCTCCTTTTCCCTGTGCTTTGAAGTACAGGATTAAAAAAACATTTTCCCCTCATTTCACAGCTGGTTATTTCTCCCTCTTTCTCTTTTCTCCTTTCGTTCTCCTATTCCGTGTCTCCCTTTCCCTTCTTGCACCCCTCCCTCTCTCTCTCTCATGTACTGCAGTCAGACGCATAGCTTCCTCTCTCTCTCTCTCTCTCTCTCTCTCTCTCTCTCTCTCTCTCTCTCTCTCTCTCTCTCTCTCTCTCTCTCTCTCTCTCTCTCTCTCTCTCTCTCTCTCTCTCTCCTTCGCACTGTTCTGTCCCTTTTCCGTCCTTCTCCTCACCTCTATTCCACCCTACTTTGCCCCTTTACCTTTCTCCCTTCTTTACTGGGTCCTCCCTCCCTCACTACCTGTTCCATCCCTTCATTTCTCCCTCTCTTCTGTCCCTTATTTCATTCCTTATCCCCTCCTACCACCTCATTCCTTCCATTCCTTAAATCGCCCTTTCTATATTCCTTCTCTCCCCCCCCCCTTTCCCTCCATCTTTTCTCCTACCTTCCATCCCTGTTCCATTCTCTTCCTCCCTCCCACGTCCCTCCTACGTCCCTCTCTCCCAGCATGCATAGCGTGACCCACAATAATTGGGTGGAACACACAAATTTCTCAATACGGAAATGAACGTTCATTGTGATGCATAGTGGCAGCACTATAGCAGGAGGGAGAGAGGTTGTGGGAGGGTGAGCTATAGAGAGGGAGAGCTAGTGGGAAGGGGGAAGCTAGTGGGAGGGTGAACTAGATGGGAAATAGCGTTATAAAATAGTGGAACATGTCTAGACACGGCACAATCGGTTAAGGGTACCTCCGGGCTCACCATAGCCCGTGCTGCTTGGAACTTTTTGTTCCAAGTAGCGAATCTTAAACAACAACAACCTTCTCACATCACCTATTCTCTTTACCCCAAAATAGGGAACCATAGCTCATTCAAGTTCTGAAATAAACCAATATTTAGACTCTAATTCCAGCCCCTTGTATTGTTTTAATTGTTCCTGTCTGTCATATTAGCGGGCTAACTGTCCCCAATTGACCTCGTGACCTTGTTTCCCGCCTTAATTGTCATTTATACCTCCCGAAAGGTAGTTTGGGGTCAATGAATTATTATTTGTTCAGAGCATATTGTTCCAATCCCCCTCCCCTGCTCATTGTAGGTAGCAATAAGTGTCTTGGAGTCAATCGAGTTAAGGGACACGATTTCTTGCCCCTCCTAGCCGTGGCACCCCTAGCCGTGGCACCCCTAGCCGTGGCACCCCTAGCCGTGGCACCCCTAGCCGTGGCACCCCTAGCCGTGGCACCCCTAGCCGTGGCACCCCTAGCCGTGGCACCCCTAGCCGTGGCACCCCTAGCCGTGGCACCCCTAGCCGTGGCACCCCTAGCCGTGGCACCCCTAGCCGTGGCACCCCTAGCCGTGGCACCCCTAGCCGTGGCCACTCCTAGCCGTGGCACCCCCGTAGCCGTGGCACCCCTAGCCGTGGCCACCCCTAGCCGTGGCCACCCCTAGCCGTGGCACCCCTAGCCGTGGCCACTCCTAGCCGTGGCACCCCTAGCCGTGGCCACCCCACCCCTAGCCGTGGCACCCCTAGCCGTGGCACCGCTAGCCGTGGCACCCCTAGCCGTGGCACCCCTAGCCGTGGCACCCCTAGCCGTGGCACCCCTAGCCGTGGTCACCCCTAGCCGTGGCCATTCCTAGCCAGTAAGAATATTAAGATCCATTACCTTGCTCTAGATCCTCGAAGCGGATGACTTCAGGGTGGTAGCAGCGTCAATGTTATCAGAACACTGCAGTGTTGCTAGGGGCGACTGAGTTAAACAATAACACACCATTATCAGCCTATCTCTCTCTCTCTCTCTCTCTCTCTCTCTCTCTCTCTCTCTCTCTCTCTCTCTCTCTCTCTCTCTCTCTCTCTCTCTCTCTCTCTCTCTCTCTCTCTCTCTCTCTCTGTCTCTCTCTCTCTCTCTCTCTCTCTCTGTACACCTGTACACCAGTTGATTGACAGTTGAGAGGCGGGACCAAAGAACCAAAGCTCAACCCCCTGCAAACACAATTAGGTGGGTACACACACACACACACACACACACACACACACACACACACACACACACACACACACACACACACACACACACACACACACACACACACACACACCACAATCAATAGACCCTTCTCCCTCGTCAGCATTGTGATAGGGGACGAAACAGAGTGAAAAAAACATTAAAATCTGTTCAAACACTAGTCGGAGCCTTAGAGTGGTTGAGACACTCTGTATTGAGACGAGTTTCGAGCTCAGTCGAGCTCAGGCCGAGCCCAGCTGTGTACAGCTGTAAATCAGAGTGAAGTACGCACAGTATACATGTGCACAGGTGCCTGTCTTGGTTATCTTGAGGTTATCTTGAGATGATTTCGGGGCTTTAGTGTCCCCGCGGCCCGGTCCTCGACCAGGCCTCCACCCCCAGGAAGCAGCCCGTGACAGCTGACTAACTCCCAGGTACCTATTTACTGCTAGGTAACAGGTGCCTGTCTAGTGAAGCAACGCTGAGCAAAGTGGTCATGAAAATACGGAATTTGACACAGCTGTGATTTTCAAAATATCGTGTGACCAATGAAATAGAAAATTAGAAAGCAAAGAAATTGGTCACTATAGGCCGAGATAAGATGATAAGAGATGTAGGACTGTTCTACATTATCACAGAAAGTGAGAGGGAAAGTGATTATTGCAGAAAATGATCTCAATCTAACATACGCGAGATTGAGGTCAGAAACTTGCCAAGCTCACAACAAGGCGAAGCAGCGGACTTTGCTAATCTCAATAAGCAATGCGAGAATCCTACTAATCTCATCGGTGCTCACCAATGCTCAATAAGAGCCAGTGAGATCAAGAGATTGTTACATAATAGAGATAAGGAGCTTACTCAAGTTCAAGTATATTTATTGAGACGAGAAAAAATTACATCTTAATGATCCCTAACCATTTGGAGGGTCGGGGATTGAACGCCGACTTGCATGAAGCAAGGCTGTCGCTCTACCGTCCACCCCAAGTGGTTAAACTCCATAAGGAGCTTACTAAGCTCACCCTGTGAGACCAGGGAAGCGCTAATCTCACCCAGTGATAGAGGTACAAGGTGATCTTGAGCCTAACAAGAAAATTGTAGCAGAGCTTGTGATTTATATAAAACACAAAATCAAAGGTAAAAATGTTTACACACACACACACACACACACACACACACACACACACACACACACACACACACACACACACACACACACACACACACACACACACACATACACACACACACACACACATACACACTCCTCAACTCTATCGAACTGTTGTGTGACGCCGCAGGCATCGACCCGAGCCTACAGTGACACAGTATTGCTACCTACAGAACTGAGTTACAGTGTGAGAGAAGCTAGAGGAAAGGAGCAGCTCCGTCGTCTACCAGTGAGCGACTTTGATTATCTTGAGGTTATCTTGAGATGATTTCGGGACTTTAGTGTCCCCGCGGCCCGGTCATCGACCAGGCCTCCACCTGGCCTGGTTATCTTGAGGTTGTCTTGAGATGATTTCGGGGCTTTTTAGTGTCCCCGCGGCCCGGTCCTCGACCAGGCCTCCACCCCCAGGAAGCAGCCCGTGACAGCTGACTAACACCCAGGTACCTATTTACTGCTAGGTAACAGGGGCATAGGGTGGTTATCTTGAGATGATTTCGGGGCTTTTTAGTGTCCCCGCGGCCCGGTCCTCGACCAGGCCTCCACCCCCAGGAAGCAGCCCGTGACAGCTGACTAACACCCAGGTACCTATTTTACTGCTAGGTAACAGGGGCATAGGGTGGTTATCTTGAGATGATTTCGGGGCTTTTTAGTGTCCCCGCGGCCCGGTCCTCGACCAGGCCTCCACCCCCAGGAAGCAGCCCGTGACAGCTGACTAACACCCAGGTACCTATTTTACTGCTAGGTAACAGGGTTCACAATCGTCTAGGTCCCAGGTTCGAATCCTACCCAGTGGGAGCAGAAACAAATTGGCAGCGTTTCCTTACCTCATGCTCCTGTTTGCTTAGCAGCAAATAGGTCCCTTGGTGCGAGACAGCTGTTGTGGGAAGCATCCTGCAGAAGGCAGATACACACACACCCACCACACATATGATCAGGGAGGATTGACTGGGGACAAATCCATAACTGTTGGCCTCTGTTCACCCGTACCTGGAGAGGGAAAAGGATTTTTAGCAGTAATCACCCAATTACATAGCAGTAATCCTCAATAACCCAGCAGTAATCCCCAATAACCCAGCAGTAATCCCCAATAACCCAGCAGTAATCCCCAATAACCCAGCAGTAATCACCCAATTACACAGCCGTAATTGGGGACTCAGCTGTGGGTAAATGGGTTGGCGATGAAGGGAGGAACCTAGCAAGCTAAGTCTTACTATAATCTATCATAATCTTACTATAATCTATCATAATCTTACTATAATCTATCATAATCTTACTATAATCTATCATAATCTTACTATAATCTTTCATAATCTTACTATAATCTATCGTAATCTTACTATAATCTATCATAATCTTACTATAATCTATCATAATCTTACTATAATCTATCATAATCTTACTATAATCTATCATAATCTTACTATAATCTATCATAATCTTACTATAATCTAAGAAGAGAAAGCTCTCGGAGTGCCAACAGATCATCGACGATATCACAGGATCCTTGGCGCCAGAGCTCCCACCAATGGACTTAAGCCTAGATTATCCCGAAGACACTCTTGGTGACAGGCTGAGTGCATCTGCATAGCGCACTTCGATGTTACTTTGATGAGTGACTTGGAGGGCATCTGATGCACTTCGTGGATAGAGACGGATAGAATCAAATCAAGCAGATGCACTGGAGATGCATATATAAAGCACATAGGTTGACCATGGGCTAGTAACGAAACTCGTAGATTAATACACAGATTGACGATAGAATAGTCAACCCTAGCAAACGCCCCAACGATAAGACATACAGACACGAGGACAGCGATGAGACTGCGTCTGGCGCTATGGTTGGCCATAGCGTGTCTGCTGGCGACTCTGCCCCTGTCTCTGCTGGCCTTCAAGAGCCTCTGGTCTGCAGCAGGGCTGACGATCGACCGCTATCTCAGCCAATGGCTCGACGACCGAATCAACTACAGCTATTTCGACGACGTCCCAGAGGGAGTCTTGCCGGTCAACAAGAGGCCCTTCTCCGCGACGGTCCTTCAACGCCTCCGGAAGCTAGTTCGGCCCACTCAGGAGCTTCGAAGTCGCAAAGTGGTGCTCTTCTGGACTTCGTGGTTCAGAAGGGCGTGGTGGGGACACCTTCGTGGTGGTTTGGATCTAGAAGCCGCCGGCTGTCCGGAAACACGATGCCACTTCACCCACGATCGGTCTCTACTTCAGGAGGCCACGATTGTCCTCTTCCAGGTAAGAATACCCAAAAAGACTCTAGCGCCTGGATCCAGGCATAAAAATTCACCAAAACCTCAACTTTTCCAGGAAATTTAATTTTATTTCACGTAGGAGTTTAAACAAAAATCTTAAATGTTTCTCTTGCCTTGGGAAAATGTTTCATAATTTTCTACATATCCCAGGAAGTAACATTTCAACATTACAAAGTAGAGCATATGTACAGAATTTAGCCTTGAGCTAAAAAATCGCAGATGTTTCAGCTGTTCCAGATATACATTGGACACATTACTTTAGGATGTTCCAGATGTTCCAAACGTCCCCAAGCATATTGGAAAATTTTGCTTGCATTGCTGGAACTAGGCTGGCTTACTGCCTTACTGCCAAAGCTCTTCGAAATGACACAGTAAAGAAACCTTAGCCCAGGGCACAGGACTCGACCCAGGGCACAGGACTCGGACCAGTGCACAGGACTCGACCCAGTGCACAGGACTCGGACCAGTGCACAGGACTCAGCACGTGCACAGGACAGAAGTACAGGCCCCCTCAGCTCATTGTACAGACCTCCATACCTCATTGTACAGAAGTAGAAACCCTCATTGTACAGAATAGCATTGTACAGAAACCCTCATTGTACATCATAGTTCATTGTATAGAAGTAGAGACCCCCATAGCTCATTGTACAAAAGTACAGACCCCCTCAGCACATTGTACATTAGTACAGACCTCCATAGCTCAGTGTACAAAAGTACAGACCCCCTCAGCACATTGTACATTAGTACAGACCCCCATAGCTCATTCTACAGAAGTACAAGCACACACAGTCTATTCCAGTGTCTAAAATTTTGGCAATCAGGCTTTGTGTTATGAATACAGGGCTGTCCGCCTAATCACTTCAGCAAGGAAGTGTTCAACAAACACGTGTTCAGACGTTCAAACACGTCTAACGCTATAAAGCCTTTTGTCTAAGATGTGCTGAAAGATATTTGAGCGAATTGGGTGGGAATACATTCGATGCTCCGTACTGGTTAATTGGTTATGCTGCCTGCTATCACGGCCTCTGGCAAGGGCTTATTCAAATTCAAAATTCAAATTTATAGAGACTCTTCCTTGTATCCTCTATCTGTTGTATGTGGTACAGTACAAGTCTCTTCTCCTCGACAGGCTGAAGGAGTTCGCGTCGAAGACCTACCCAGCGGAAGGCGTCCGGGAGACCAACGCTGGGTCTGGGTGCATGTTGAGGCGCCACCGGCATCTTCGCGGGCTTTTTCGAAGCTCCAACGGCTCCAGGTTCGTTAGCTCAGTGACCGATGTCCCACGTGGGCGTCTCTGTAGGATAGTGGTCTTCGTCCACGGCCCACAATCGATGGGATACTTGTTTAATCCTCTGGGCAGGATAGAAATGGTTGGGAATGTTTGGTAATTTGTTATTTTAGTTCTTTTCATCTCATGCTTCTGTTCATCTTGCAGTAAATAGGTACTTTTTGGATTTAGGAAGATTTTATAGGCGTTGCTTCCTGGGGAAGGTCAGTAGTAGGCCTAAGGGACCTCGATAGGCCTAAACAAAGGCTTCAGGTCCTCGGGAATCAATGCAATGGCTTCCGGAATTTCCTCGTATTTAGGTTCAAGTCTTTGCATGGAATTATCTTCGCCTATCCTCACCTATTATCAACTATTCTCAACTATCCTTAACTATCCCTTCTAGCTTATATTTGCTTCTCATTCTTACGCTGAAATACCCAACCACTTGGGCTGGACGGTAGAGCGATTGTGAGACTTGAGAATGGTCCACAATCGACTTGAGAATGGTCCAGGACGGACCGAAACGTCGTCGTCCCTTCACCTTCTAGTGTGTGGTCTGGTCAACACACTTCAGCCACGTTATTGTGACTCATCGCCTGCTTAGTGATTTTATTTTCAACTTACGTATTTTGCAATCACATTTGCCGTCTTCCAGCGGTCTGGTAACTTCCCTCCGGCCAGTGAAGATTATCGCAAGTGTTGATCTATTACAATGTTGTCTGGCGTTACGTAGAGAACTGTTCATATGTATACGCCCACCGTGATGTGTGTGCGTGTGTGTGTGTGTGTGTGTGTGTGTGTGTGTGTGTGTGTGTGTGTGTGTGTGTGTGTGTGTGTGTGTGTGTGCACTCACCTAGGTCTGCTTGCGGGGGTTGAGCTCTCGCTCTTTGGGCCCGCCTCTCAACCGTCAATCAACTGGTGTACAGGTTCCTGAGCCTATTGGGCTCTATCATATCTACACTTGAAACTGTGTATGGAGTCAGCCTCCACCACATCACTTCCTAATGCATTCCATTTGTCAACCACTCTAGCATGTGTGTGTGTGTGTGTGTGTGTGTGTGTGCACGCGCGTGCATGTAACTTAATTTTCTTTGTCTTTCCAGCGTGCAAATTCACCCTCTTTATTTACATGGTAATGGACTATAAGACTGCCAGGAGAGAGAGAGGCACCCTCATCCCAATATTAACCCTCCCCCCCCCCCTCCCGCCCCCCCACGGTCTCACACGAGTGGCGTAAGTTTAATATCAGCACCACGACACCTTTCCCCCCCTCCCCCCCCCGCCCTGGTGTGTGCCCAAATGGTTTAGCGGGCAAGGCCACGACGGGCCTATAATCTTCTATGTCGTGCATGATGCTGTCACAACCCCCTGGTAACCATGGTAACGGTGTAAACATAAACAATGGCTACGATTTTGAGGCTACAAGTTCCTATTTTTTATGATTAGATAGTCAGCCGGTTAAACACACCTGCAAACATACACACAACACATCAGCAAACACACCTGCAAATACACACAACACATCAGCAAATACACCTGCAAATACACACAACACATCAGCAAACACACCCGCAAATACACACAACACATCAGCAAACACACCTGCAAATACACACAACACATCAGCAAACACACCTGCAAATACACACAACACATCAGCAAACACACCTGCAAATACACACAACACATCTGCAAAAACACCCGCAAACACCCACAAAAACACCCGCAAACCCCACCCAACCCCAACAAAAACACCCACAAACACCCAGAACACCCACAAAAACACCCGCAAACACCCACAACACCCACAAAAACACCCGCAAACACCCACAACACCCACAAAAACACCCGCAAACACCCGCATTAACTAATTTAACCCAACATTTCAGACTGGAGACCCCAGACGGCTACACCAGGACCTGAGTCCTCTCTTCAACTGGACCATGACTTACCACCCGAACTCGGAGCTGATGGAGCCCTACGGAGCCCTCCTTCCTGTGGCCCTGGAGGCCCCCACAAGGGCTACGGAGCCGCTTGGGCCTGCCTCGTCCACCAGGGGGGGCGGCGACACCCATTCCTTGCGGCCTGCCCTGCTGGATCACCAGAATTCAGCCTATAAGGCCTACCTCGAGGCGCTGGTTCAAGGGTCCTCTCTGGAGGAGGTTGTGGGCAGGTCTTGGGTCTCCTTCGTTGATAGTGATGCAGGTGGGTGATTGGGGGGTGATTGGGGGGTGATTGGGGGTGATTGGGGGTGTAGGTGGGTGATTGGGGGTGATTGGTGGCTTGCTGGGGTGGTAGGTGGGTGAGTGTGTGTGTGTGTGTTTAAAAGCATTATTCAATAGGATTTGATTAACACGAGGAAGCGTTCGATGTCTCTGGCTATTGTATTTCTAATCCTTGTATCACCGACAAGAATACAACTCGAATACAACAACCAGGACATAACGACCCCAATTAATACAACATAATGACCCTAATTAACACACAAATCGTAACTTCTACCCCAATTCTTATTGGCCATGTTAAGTAATTAATCATTCTCTCTGTTCCTCCATTCGCCAGAGGGCATGGAGGATGCGTGGAGGCGGATCCTCACCCGCCCGCGGCTGGTGGCGTGGATGTCATCCAAATGTCACACGCCATCCAGACGGGAGGATTACGTGGCTGAATTGCAACATCACGTGGCTGTAGATGTTTATGGTAAATGTGGCAACCTCAGGTATGTCAAGGAGGTGCCATAGTGATTGTACCAATAGCCAGAGTAAAGAAAATTTTAATTTGAGCTTTCTACTTTCCGTTCAATGACTTTAACAACTGCCTTCTGCAAGCAGGGAAGAGGACACATGGGGCTGAAAGATTCTTGTAATGCAGGCGATGAGTCACAATAACGTGGCTGAAGTATGTTGACCAGACCACACACTAGAAGTTGAAGGGACGACGACGACGTTTCGGTCCGTCCTGGACCATTCACAAGTCAATTGTCGACCTGAGAATGGTCACAATCGACTTGAGAATGGTCCAGGACGAACCGAAACGTCGTCGTCCCTTCACCTTCTAGTGTGTGGCCTGGTCAACTCTTGCAATGTCGTGCTTTTCAAACCCACAGGTGTGGAGCCCGGGTGAAGCACCGAGACGACAGCTGCTGGCGACAGGTTTTGGCTCCGAAGTACCTTTTCTACCTGGCCTTCGAGAACGCCGCATGCGACAGCTACATCACCGAAAAAGTATGGCGGCCACTGATTCACGGCGTCGTCCCTATAGTGTTGGGAGGAGCCAATTACTCCAACTTCCTTCCTCCGAACTCGTACATCGACGCGCTTAAATTCACCCCGAGAGAGTTAGCCGAAGTCATGATGCAGCTACAGGCTTCGCCAGATGACTATGCTCGGTATCACCTCTGGAGAGGGTTCTGGAGACCTACCTTGCGGACACCTTTGTGTGAGTTGTGCTTCAGGGCTCACGAGGACACGGAGGAGACAACCCAGGTGGACATCTCCGGCTGGTGGAGGACGGTAGGACACTGCCGGGATCCTATGGCCGGCAGGGACATCGCGTGACTATTGTTTGAGGATGGTAGTGGGTCGACCTGCCCCTATCACCCGTCCTGACACCTGCCAGGCTGCTCACTTAATGACACACTACGGTAATTAGCAGTTCAATAGTGGTTACAGTCACTGTGCATGTGTACTCTCGTGGTTGTTCTTACCTACATGTGCTTGCGGGGGTTGAACTTTGGCCCTTTGGTCCCGCCTCTCAACCACTAATCAACCGGTATACAGATTCCTGAGCCTACTGGGTTCTATCATATCTACACTTGAAACTGTGTATGGAGTCAGCCTCCACCACATCACTGCCTAATGCATTCCATCTGTTAACTACTCTGACACTGAAAAAATATCATTCTAACGTCCCTGTGGCTCATTTGGGTACTCAGTTTTCACCTGTGTCCCCTTGTTCGTGTTCACCACGTGCTAAATACTTTATCTTTATAAACCCTGTCATTCCTCTGAGAGTTTGTAGGTGGTAATCATGTCTCCCCTAACATCTGTCTTCCAGTGTCGTGAGGATTAATTCCAATAGGCTTTCTTCGTAGCTCATACCTCTCAGGACTGGACGGTAGAGAGAGGAAAGCCTTGCGACTATACATTACAGAAATAAGAAAATAACTAACTTACCTTCCTGTCTGCGTCTGAAGAAATACGATCCCTGACTTCTCTCTGGGCGGAGAATTCACGACCCAAAGTGTATATATACACACCTCTCAAGTGTATATATATACACCTCTCAAGTGTATATATATACACCTCTCAAGTGTATATATATACACCTCTCAAGTGTATATATACACCTCTCAAGTGTATATATATACACCTCTCAAGTGTATATATACACACCTCTCAAGTGTATATATATATATATACACCTCTCAAGTGTATATATACACACCTCTCAAGTGTATATATATACACCTCTCAAGTGTATATATACACACCTCTCAAGTGTATATATATACACCTCTCAAGTGTATATATACACACCTCTCAAGTGTATATATATACACCTCTCAAGTGTATATATACACACCTCTCAAGTGTATATATATACACCTCTCAAGTGTATATATACACACCTCTCAAGTGTATATATATACACCTCTCAAGTGTATATATATACACCTCTCAAGTGTATATATACACACCTCTCAAGTGTATATATACACACCTCTCAAGTGTATATATACACACCTCTCAAGTGTATATATATACACCTCTCAAGTGTATATATACACACCTCTCAAGTGTATATATATACACCTCTCAAGTGTATATATATACACCTCTCAAGTGTATATATATACACCTCTCAAGTGTATATATACACACCTCTCAAGTGTATATATATACACCTCTCAAGTGTATATATATACACCTCTCAAGTGTATATATACACACCTCTCAAGTGTATATATATACACCTCTCAAGTGTATATATACACACCTCTCAAGTGTATATATATACACCTCTCAAGTGTATATATACACACCTCTCAAGTGTATATATATACACCTCTCAAGTGTATATATACACACCTCTCAAGTGTATATATATACACCTCTCAAGTGTATATATACACACCTCTCAAGTGTATATATATACACCATTCAAGTATATATTCCCCGAAAGTTGACAATAGTCCAGGAATAGACTAAAGGACTAAAAGGACTAAAATATACTTGCTAGTCAGTAATTGTGGCGACTTAATAATTCTCCAGTGGTTAAGCCTTCAGAGACGACACAAGACGCTAATCACACGCGTGCACGCACACACACACACGCGTGCACGCAATTGGAAGACTATGAACAACCAGTGACTCCACCTCCCATTGTAACACCCAGGACCTCCCCCCCCCCTCTTAGAGTTCACACCCAGGGAAGCCTTCTCCAAGAGGTCAGCCCAGATGACCTCCGGTTTATCTTGAGTGGTGTACAATTGGTGGTGTTACAATTGAGCGGTGTTACACCATTCGCCAGGCATTCTGGGAATTGCTAGAGTAGTCAAGTAACCCTTGAAGCCTAACAGCGTAATCACTCAGCCTCATAAATAGCATTATACCTGAGCAATACAGCCTGTATACTATAGCAAACTATAGAGTATACAACATGTATACTCACTGTATATATACACAGTAAAATAGGTAAAATATATCCTCCTACAACCAATGATTTGGCTGCCAAACCCCTTGTTTATGAAACACAGGAGAGCTAAGTATTCTTCAAGAACAATTCGAATACTTGTGAGCCAATTGTAATGTGTTCTTTTTCATGCATGTGACTCAAGCTTAAGTACGTTTATTGAGATCATAGATACATTTCAAAGGGATAGTGTAGTTAGGCTATTCCTACCCGCTATGCATGCGGAGGGGGAATAGAAATAGCCTAAGCTATTCTCCCTGGAAACACAAACCGTAACTGTCTCTATTTTCCGCTTGTTAAAACTTGTAATAAAGTTGTTACATCTTGGCTTAACGTGTTTATGACGAATTAGAACGTTGTTACAATTTGCTATATTGGTTGTTATAACTGGTTAGGTGTTAAAACTTGTTCGAACGTTGTACCAACGTCGTAGTTTTGGTGTGTGTTTGGCGGGATAACCATTTGAAATGAATTGTATTGTCTCAATAAACGTATTTGAACTTAACTGGAGAAGGATTCACGTGAATTTAGCCATTGTTTATGAGTATGCACTGCCCAATTATGACTCAAGATTTTTAAATTTATAATATAGATTAGTATAGCGGTATTCTTCGGAAATGTAATCAATATCTATGTTGTTATTGATTTAGAGGCGACGCTACGATCGAGGTATCGTATGAGGTCAATGTTGTGTTGATTTAGGGGCGACGACGATCGTATGAGGTCAATAAACAGTGTTTATGTTTCGAAGCGCTTTAGAAATATTGACCAAGACGGTCAACTCTTTGCTCCGGTGGTGTGATGGCTCACTACTGCCATCTAGCGACGTGGCGACGAATCTCCCTACCAAAATCGTCATATTATTCCCAATTTCGTAAAATTCACGTCTATTCTTCGGCCAAAATGTATGAAAACAATGACTATAAATCACCAACTGAGTTTAGAACTGAAAAATATATATTTTTCCTTGGAAAGAAAATTTTCCATTGAAATGTTAGAAAGTTTGCTTCGCTTGAGGGCTGGAAGCGGGATACAGGCTTTTTTTCAAATTGCTTTTCGCTCCCGTCTTCTATAAACTGTGAAAATAGATTTATTCGTTAAAGGAGAGAGAAAGAGAAAGAGAAAACGGTCAATAGTTACTCATACACAGTGTCAGAGTAGTTAACAGGTGGAATGCATTAGGCAGTGATGTGGTGGAGGCTGACTCCATACACAGTTTCAAGTGTAGATATGATAGAGCCCAATAGGCTCAGGAATCTGTACACCTGTTGATTGACGGTTGAGAGGCGGGACCAAAGAGCCAGAGCTCAACCCCCGCAAGCACAACTAGGTGAGTACACACAGAGTGGTAGACGGTTGGAACAAGTTAGGTGAGAAGGTGGTGGAGGCCAAGACTGTCAGTAGTTTCAAAGCGTTATACGACAAAGAGTACTGGGAAGACGGGACACCACGAGCGTACCTCTCATCCTGTAACTACACTTAGGTAATTATACACACACACACACACACACACACACACACACACACACACACACACACACACACACACACACACACACACACACACACACACAGGGCCTCCGAGGCAGAGTAGAGAGCACTCAGGGGGTCATAGTCCCAGTGGCCCGGTTTCGATTCTCAGCCGAGGCAGAAACAAATGGGCAGAAGCCATTTATTTTCCTACCCAAAACTGTATTAAATTTAACCTAACAAACGCTAAACTAAATATCAGCACCCAAATCCTCACATACAAGCCTATACAAACTCTATCTATCCATTACAAGAGCTAGCTATAATTCGAACCAAAATACACTAATTTACACTATTTTCGGAACAAGGTAGTTCATTACCCTTAAATCTTACCCTACACAACCTTAATTAACCTGACTAACACAACCAAAGATAATTTAATCTGTCGCACCTGAATTTACCTAATTTAAGTCAATTTCCACCAATTTTATAAAAAAAATTACATTATCATAGCTCAAACTAAACCCAATTTAAAGGAGTTTATGCTATACCATCTAAATTTGATGCCTGTTTCCTATATTCAGTCACTACATAACATATCCCTATCTCAAGATCATTTAACAACGTTACTAGCCATTTCATCTCTCAATCTAGCCATTTCCTACATCCAGATGCATTTATTAGCATATATCCAACCTAACCTAACTTGACCATCCTTATCCTAATCTCATATATCTGGATCTGATATACATTTTACATCATATTCTTAGGAAAATGATAAGATTCACTATATATATATATATATATATATATATATATATATATATATATATATATATATATATATATATATATATATATATATATATATGGTTCGTACTCGTCACGTATGAGGGAGAAGCTGTTACCCATGCAGCAGATCCCCCTCTCTCCGTGGCGTCGAAAGTCTCCAGTGGAAAGGCCTCACTCTCTCACCTTTTCCACTTGACCATATGAAGTTCATTATATCTGTTGACACAAGTGTCAATAGATATAATGAACCTTGAGGATATAGTTGTATTGACTGGGAACTTCAAAGGCGGAGCCCAGGAGATAACACCCAACCCTGTACGCACACACAACCTTCCCTACGCTAAACCAACATAGACCTAACTGAGGAGACCTAAACTTTGACTTTTGGGGGCAAAGATAGGGAATTATCAAGGGAAAACAAGCCATTACGACTATAGCACTGGGAAGGGGTCTGGATAAGGATTTGGGATGGGACGGGGGAAAAGGAATGGTGCCCAACCACTTGTGGACGGTCGGGGATTGAACGCAGACCAGCATGAATCGAGACCGTCGCTCTACCGTCCAGCCCAAGTGGTTGGACAATTATCAAGGGAGAGCGCCAAGCCATTACGACTATATAGCACTTGGAAGGGGTCTGGATAAGAATTTGGGATGGGACGGGGGGAAAGGAATGGTTCCTAACCTCCTTTGGACGGTCGGGGATTGAACGCGGACCAGCGTGAAGCGAGACCGTCGCTCTACCACCCAGCCAAAGTGTTTGGGCACTTCTGAGGCAAATCATCCCAGTA